TAGCACATTCCCTTATTTCTTGTAGGAAATGAATAGTTTAGATCCATTTCAATTGGGATTCAGGCTGCAGCATGAAATTGAAATGGTACTGGCTGCCCTGCAGGTGTATATTCTGAAGGAAGCAGACCAGGAAAGTGTAACCCTGCTGGTCTTCTTGTGGCCTCTGATACCATTAACTATGGTATTCTTCTGGGACCGCTAACAGGTTTAGGACATCGGGGCTCCATTCTTCAGTGGTTCCAGTCATTCCTTGAGGGCTAATCCCAGATGGTACAGCTCAGGGAGTTGTTGTCAACCCTTTGGGAGCTGCATTACAGGATCTTGCAAGGATAAGCCATTTTCCCCAATGCTTTTTAAAGATCTATATGAAGCTGCTGGGAGAAGTCATAGAGAGATATGGAGTTCATTGTCAACAATGCATGGATGACACAAAGCTCTGTCCCTCCTCTACATCCGCAGGGGATGCTGTGTGGGTACTTAAGCACTGCCTGACATAAAAAATAGAATGGACGAGGGCCAATAAACTCAAACTAATACAAAGATCCTACTGTTGGGAGGATTGTCCGACTGGTTAGAGGTATATTTGGCCTTGATGGGGTTACGCTTCTTCTGAAGGATTGGGTTTGCAGCTTGATGGTACTCTACTAACCATTATTCTCTATTTAAATGCAGATATCAGCTGTAGTGACGAGTGCTTTTTATTAAGTTTGGTTGATTACCCAGCTGCACCCCTATCTGAAATGCCTAACAAGAGTTGTTCATCCATTGGTAATTTCTAAAACTGACTACTGTAACACCCTCTATGTAGGGCTGCCCTTGAAAGTACAGAACTTCAGCAGGTCAAAAAGGCAGCAGCCAGAATGATTACAGGTGCATCAGATATGAACATATATTCCCAGTCTTGGGACTTCTTCATTGACACTGTTAAGTTTCTGTGCTCAATTTAAGGAGCTAGTCATAATCTATAAAGCCCTTAATGGTTTAGGACCTTGGTACCTAGCAGAATGCCTCACCCACAAATAGCTACCTGCCCCACATGCTCCTTGCAGTCCTTGATGTTAAGAACTGTGACACCCGAGAAAGTCAAAAACACAACATTAAGAACTAGGCTTTCTCAGTTGTGGCTCTTTCCCTCAAGAATAGCCTTCCTACAGAGGTTCATCAGGCACATTCCATTCATTTTATGCAAGTCATAGATGGGAAGCATTCCACATGAAATGTATTCAAACTTTTCAACAAACTCAAGTTACGCTATCAAAGTTGCTTAAGTCTGTGGGTGAAAAAAAATTCAGCAATGTTTATGAACCTAACTTATAACTAATCATTTGACTCTATGGAATCCTTTAGATGAGAAGGTATAACTTTCCAGTGAAGCATCTTCTGCCATTTTCTCACAAAATGGCTGCTACAGACAAGAGTGATGCAGCAAATGAAAGCATCTGCCTGGTATAATGAGCCAGTTCAACTGTACTGCCTTAGCTTCATAATCAGCTCTCACCAAACTTTGTTCCCACACCAAAGCTAAATATTCCAATTTCTCATTTCATACATATAAACTGAAGACTCAATACAGATTCTCATTGTGATATGATAGGTGCAAAACATCTCCCCAAATAGTTGCAACACAGAACTAGACAGCGTCTGGATGGTAATTATAATACAAGTACAGTGGGGTCTCTACTTAAGAACTTAATCCGTATTGGAAGGTGGTTCTCAAGTTGAAAAGTTCTTATGTTGAATCTGCATTTCCCATAGGAATGCATTGAAAACCATTTAATCTGTATCTGCTCTTTTCCGTCCATAGAAACTACAGTGGAACCTCTACTTAAGAACTTAATACATTTTGGAATGGTGTTCTTAAGTTGAAATGTTCTTAAGTTGAAGCAAAATTTCCCATAGGAATGGACTGAAAACCAATTAATCCGTTCTGGCTGTTTTTTTGTTATGTAGAGGTGTGTTCGTACATTGAAGGATTAGTTCCCATAGGAACTAATGCAAAGCTGGTTAATACGTACTCTACCTCTAGGGGGAGATTTTTTTTTAACCTAAGATGACCTAAGGTTAAAAAAAGAGCAGGAAAGGTTTTTTTTTGTTCTTATCTTGGATTTCTGTTCTCAAGTAGAAGCAAAATTTAGCAAATGGAGCTGTTCTTAAGTTGGATTGTTCTTAAGTAGAGACGTTTTTAAGTAGAGACCCCAGTGTAGTAATTATTTCTTACTATTAGAAAGACTTCAGCTATCCGCTATTTTGATGAATCAAGGAAGCTGTCTATAACATTACTTCCTGTTGAAATACTCAATAATCTATAAAGTTACAGAATTTGAAAGCTGTGGATGGACATTTCTGTAGTTCCACATATCGTACTTAATCTGTATCTACTGAATGTATTTACAGATTCTATAAGTCTTAGCAAATTTTCAGTGGCTTGGTGTGAATTTATAAATCATGCATGACATTCATGGGAGTCATCAGTTATTCCACTGTACAGTGGTGCCTTGCTTAACGAGCGCACCGTTAATGACGAATCCGCATAGTGACGCGTTTTTTGCGATCGCTAATGTGATCGCATTGTGATGTTTAGATAGGCTAAACATCGTATTGCGATGATCGGTGTTTCGCTTACCGATCTTCGCATTGCGATGTTTAAAAAACAGCTGATCGGCGGTTCCAAAATGGCCACCGGGTGCAGAAAATGGCCGTCCGCAGTGTTTTCGCGCCCTGCCCTCGCTTACCGGGCAGCGAAAATGGCGGCTGGATGGGGGAATCTTCGCTTACTGGTGAGTTTTTCCCCAATAGGAACGCATTAAACGGAGTTTAATACGTTCCTATGGTTCCCCCCCCACATAGGACGTTAATCCTGAAATGGATTAACGACGCTATGCGGGACACCACTGTACTTACAACCCCCTCCTGCAATTGGTTTTGGGTGGTCAGACTTATCTAGCCAATTGTCATAGGATGGTGGAAAGCAATATTTGAGAAAAAAGTACCTTCCTCTCACGCAGTGAAATCCTTGGAACTAACTACTCCACTGAGATTCTAAGATTTGATAGTGCTCTCAGACAATCATCCTAAGATTTTTTAAAGTACAAAAGTATGTGCTTCAAACATGGAGAGACATTCAAGCAATGTGCTTAAAACTGAGGGTTATCTTGTAAAGTTTTTGACAATACAATAATCCCACTAGATACTCAGCAGTCTTACAAAGTTAAAAAAAGGAAAGGCAGTCTATCACTATTCTAATAAGGCAAAACAACTAAATCACTAAAATTCTACCAGAACTGTTTATCTTGTGTGTATGTATGTTTAATTAACAAATCATTTTGGGGAGAGGGAGCAGTTAGTCAGTTGCAGTAAAAAAAACACACGAGTCTTGTGGCAGCCTAAGAACTTAGAAGTTTTATTTGATGTAAACCTATGTAAACTAAAACTCAATCAGTACACAAAGAAAACAAGAAATTGATGTTAAAACATTTGTTGGCGTGTCTTCTGAGCACTAAAGACAATCCCAGAACACAAAAATATAAGTCTGTACATTGGGTAAGAAAGAACATCATCAGAATCTTTGTGAGATTTCTCAGACAGTGACCCAACTCTGCTTATCTGTTTATGCTAACATAGCACAGAGTAACTTTTGGAGGCAAACTGCACCAATGATTAAGAAATCATTGTAGATGTTATCAGTTGGATACTGAGTTGTATGATTCAGGGTGCAATAGGTAACATGTATGGGGATTTCTTAACTTGGGCCAATTTGTCTCCAAAAGTTACACCATATGCATAGCTATGCAAGAGGATTTTGGCCAGAACATTGCAATCATTGTAGCTGTTTTGTGGTAGGGAAGCCTCTTTTTGTGCTATCAAACTGTATCAGACCAAGTAGCATTCAGCTACCCATTTAAAAAGTGTGAACTAACTGATAGGAGAGACAATCTATTAATGATAGTATGTGGAATATTTATTCTTCAAAATATTCTGGAATTCAACTCCCAGATGTCCCAACCAACATAGCTAATGGTAAAGGATTACAAGAACTGTATTTTAAAATATCTAGAAGGCAGGGGTTCCCTATCCTTATATTTTATCTCTTGTTTCAGTTACATTTCAATTAATTTGTACCACTTGTACCAAGCTTCCTAGTACTTACAGACCTAGGAAAACCACCAGAGCTTATTAATAAGTTGCTATTTGCTACCAAGTCTTTTATTGAAGCTTTAATTGGAAAAAAGATTTTGGCCTTTATTTTGAAATTATTATAAAATAATTCCTTCAGATATAACACTGATAAACAATATATTCCTGCATGTCTTTGATAAAGCTACTTAAGCTTCCACGATTTAAAAAACACATTTCTAAGTTCAAAAATATTTTCAGTTGAAAATGTGTCCTGTGCCTTTTCAATGAACTTTTATTTAAAGTATCTGTTGGGTGTATTTTCATATCACAAAGGTGTAGAAATAATGGGGTGTGCTAACTTTGTGATGAGTAAAGGCATTTGTCACTCTGTAAACACAGGATAATTATGCAACTCAGCATTCACTATCTTGCCAGTGGAAAAATTTTTTAACCACACCATGATTTCATGTATTAGCCAAACAGCCCATCTTCAATTGAAGGTAAGTTTATTCACGTGCCACTGAACCCACCAAAACCACCCCATGGGCAGGATGATGTTATTCTGAATTACCTTCAGCACCAATCTCTCAGTCTGTAAACTGAAGAATTAAACATGCCAGAATGGAGTTTGCAAGCAATTCCTATCATGCAAACATTTGATGCTAAGGAAAAGATGAACAAAAGTCATCTGCAGCAGATGATGGAACACTTACAAATAATGTGGGATAAAATACTCACCTGGGGGATGATAAGCTTGATCTTCCTGTTGCCGCAAATACTTACCTTGTAGGTTGCAAGGCAGATGTTGAAGAGAAGAGAAGAGGTGGGGCTATTAGAGCCCCTTTCCTTTCTCTCTCTCCTCAAGCTATTTATGGGATACTTACCCATGTGGGATAGTGTTCTTCTTTACCATGCTGAAAGCAGGCACAGACAAGGGCAGGAGGCAGCAGAAAAACTGGGCAGCACTGCAGCAAATGAGAGAGAACCGCGCAGTTAACACGGTGCCAATCTCTTTCTCCAATTCTCACAGGGCTGCCTTTAAGGGCTGCATTATCTCTACACGTAGGCTTCGTCGTATAATGTCACCTCTGTCCCAGTTGTAGTTGAAATATCATATGGAGAACTGAAGCAAAAAGTTGAGTGGAACTGAATCGCCCCTACTTGACCTAGGAGCTCAGTTGAGAGAAAAGCTGAAATGAATCTAGAAGAGAAAGAGTCTATGGGAATAAGATTTAGGAAATTGCTTTTGTCCTGAAAATTAGGCCCCAACGCCTGCTTTATTAGAACAAGGGGATGGGGTAGAGTTTAAATAAATAAATGGGTCATCTTTCTACCATCCTGTCTGACTTGGCCTTAGGTACGAACGGACAAGAAAGTGAAGAACGGTGGCAGCGACAAGGATCATTACCTTGGAGTGCTGTCAATTTTGCTGTAAGTTAAAAGGCTAGTCAGCTAGTACTGTTAAGTCCTTAAGAGCTGCTGGAAGGCCCCAATAAGAGCCCAAACTCGCCGCACGGTAAATCTACTCCCCTTCCTGCCCGACATCCACAAGCAAGAGAACAAAACTGACCCACCCACTAGACCCCGAAGGACCACAATTCCTGATTTCCCCCCTCAAAAAAAAAAAGAAAGAAAAGAAAAGACCAGCGGTTCTTCTCCTCCACGTTGTGCCCAAGAAACCCACAGGTGCGCCAAGGACCGGTAGCAGAGATTGGGTGTGTGTGTGGGGGGGCTCTGCTGGCCCAGCACAGGGGAAACAGGGGAGGGGGAAGAAAGGGACACGTAACTGTCTATTCCGTCCCCTCAACCCCTCGGGCCAAGAAGCGACCGAGCTATAGCAAGGTGAGTCGCTACGGCAAGCTCCACAAGGGGTTGGCGGCTGGGCGAAGGCCGGGAGCAGCTAAGAAGACAGCAGCTCGTACCCTCAGACCGGAGGACTTTTGTTCCCAGAGAAAAAGGAACGAAGCCGGCAAGTGGGAACCTTCCCGAACGCGTCCCACCACTGCGCATGCTCCGTAAGAATCGGCGCAGAAAGCGCATGCTCCGCGGCGGTCACGCTACAGGGCTGCGCGCGCGCAGGCTCCAAACGCTGCTTGTGCCGTATTGTTTTCCGTGGAGAAATCGGGTCAGAAGCAGCTGAGCTAGCAAGTCGCATCTGCGCACGCTCGAAGGCCTTTTGTTCGGCGCGAGCTTGGTCCTCCCCTCAGGACGCGTTAAACAACCGTGCGCATGCTCATGTTGCCTAACGGCAAGGTGAGTACCGTTGAGGGAGCTGAATTAGAAGAGTTAGTTCTCTCTATAAGGGTTTCCTTTTTAATTACCCTCAGCGGATGCGTGGGGTGGGTGGGAAAGGGACAACGTTTTAATAATCTCGGCGAAGGAGACGGTGTCGTCCCTTTTTTTTTACATTGGGGTAGATGGCCACGTAGTGGTGAAGATTGCTTATCTGTGAGACATGAAGTGGTTTTGAGAGAAAAAACCGCTTAATGCTTTTGTTACTGCTAAATAATCTGTACTGACAGAACGTGACATTCGTGGCCGCTGTCATAGTACTGTAGTTAATTCGTTGATTTTTTGTAATGCGGTTCGTATCTCACCTCTCCATGTTGTGCAGGTCTGTTAACAGTATAAATTCTCCCAATATTTCAGAAAAATAGGGGTTAAAAAAAACCTATTTTAAAACTAAATGCAGACCAGACAGTGCAGAATAACTAACCAAGTAGAGTGTTGGAAAAATAGATGTGTTTTAAAAAAAAAGCACCAAACCCCAATTGGAGGTACATATCTCTGGGATCTGCAGTTCTTCAGCTTGACTTCAGATAAAAAGGAGGGGGACACCCATGCTTCATACTGTATTTACAACATTCTCCAGCCATTTATTAATTCCTAAAAAAACAAGCAAAGCAATTCCTGCAACATCTTAAAAGTTAAAAAAAAACTATGACATGACTCTTTTATGGGTTAAATATTACCACATGGATCTCATCCGTAATGGCTTCTGCCATGATGCGTCTGTCGATCTTTTAAGACTGATATTTTTGCTGCAACACAGACTTAGGGGATCCTCTGGATGTTGTTCAGGGCTGAGGTACACAGCTTGAGAATTTTTTCTAATTCTTGCTAATTCGACAAAATGTGCTTTCCTTTATCTGAAATGGAATAGTGTTTGACTCTGAACACAGATTCTACAGCTTTAGGCTCAAGTAGTCCTTAAGAGTACCCATTAAAATGTGTACTCTTTTTGCTCCCAAATAAGCTTTTTTCTCTGCTGCTGGGCGGTTTCTACTTTTCCAAGCTGAAATGATTCAAATACTGTAGGCCTTTTCCTGTGCAGTTAGTTCTTGTAAATATAGGGTGAGTGTCTGTAGGTGGTGTTTTGATGCCATAAGCTATTGGGGTATGATGTGCTTGCTTCTGCTGATCCTATTAGAGTTTACAGTGAAGCCACATTCTTATTTAAAGCTTAGGACTTTAAATTTTCAGATTTTTAAAAAACTTTTATATAGAAAAATAACATGGAAAGGTACTTAACAGTCTAACATCAAAAGTAATTTTGCAAAATACATCATAACTCACACATTGGAATGGTTCCATAACATTTCAACATCACGTTCTACTGCACTTCTGTTACTTCTGTCTCTTACTTTCAAGTACTACGCATGCAAGGATTGCTTCAGCTCTTGTCACATATAATTTTAAACTAGTTTAGTTTCACTTGCCCTCTTCCCTTTTTTGGGTTTTCTAGTTGTCTGTTGCGTGACTTTGACAAGACTCAGGTGCTTGTCAAAACAGGACAAAAGTTCAATTTTCCCTGGCTCCAGTTGGTTATGAGGCTTTCTGGGGTTTGTCTCAACGCTGAACATTAAAAAGCCATATCTCTACAAATGGCATTTCTTCAGGAGATCTTTGAAATCCTGGCTAGAAGTCCATTTCCTGGCTGGAACTTCATTATTTCTTTTGAAAACATGCCAAAAATGAATACTAATTAAGAACGTCCAGTCTAGAGGCTCTAACTGAGAAATGAACTCTCCACAGGAAGTGTTGTGCTAACTTCTGCCTGCTAAGATAAATCCTGGAACAAAATAAAGCATCCTCACAAAAATGCACAGAAAGGCAGGGTGGAGGTGGTGCAATATATTGGATCACACGTCCTCTGGACAGCTGGAAACTCTCAGTGAAAAAAAGACTACTTTTACAGGAGGAAATACTTTTTACAGGAAGAAAACCTCTGTGTACCCAAGCCCCTTTTAAAAGACAACGGATAAAAGTTAAACACTGTTACGCATCCAAGAAAGATAGTTTGGGTGGAAAAAGTGTTAAGATGTAATTTTTTAAAAAATTAGAAAATAAAAATTTGTTTATCCCCTTTCTTAGATAAAGTTTCCAACCACTCTTGTACATTTTATAACTTGAAATGTTTTCACTACTTTTCATGTTGATCATTACGTTCTTTAAGAATAACTTTCAAAAGAAGATACTGGTGTAGTGGAATTCTCAAAGGATGTGGTACATGGTGATTGTAGAATCATAAAAAAATGCAGTTAGAAGGGGCCTATAAGGCCCTCTAGTTCAATCCCCTGCTAAAAGCAGTAATCCAAATTAAAGTGTATCTGACAGATGACTGTCTAATTTTCTCTTCTATGTGTCCAGTGTTGGAACACTTACCACCTGCTGAAGAAATTGGTTTCATTGTTGTACTGTTCTAACAGGAACCTTTTCATATTCAACTAAATCTGGCTTTGTGTAACTTGAGCCCATTATTGTGCGTCTTGCACTTTGGAATGATTGAGAACAGATCCTACCCCATTGTTGTACAGTGGTGCCTCGCATAGTGATCGCTCCGTTGAGCGACGAAATCACTTTGCGACGCTGTTTTTGCAATTGCAAAAGCAATCGCTTTGCGATGGTCCCTATGGGGAAATTTTGCTTTGCAATGATCGCAAGGAAGCGTTTCTATGGGCTTTTTATTTTCACTTAGCGATGTTATCGCTTAGCAGCGATTTTTTCTGCACGGATTAACATCGCTAAGCGAGGCACCACTGTATACCTCTCCCCTATTGGGAAGAGATTGAGGAGAGAGAACAAAGAAGAAAGAAAAGGGAAAGGTTTGCTTGGGAAGCTAATTATAGAGAAACAAGACCATGTTCAGTTTCTCCTGGGACCAGTTGTAGGAAGAGCCAATTGCTGGTCAAAGTTTGCAGAGATCCTGGCTGCTGAGTTTGTGAGACCAACCTGGGTTGGATATTTCACAAGTAAATCAGTGTTTGAATGTTAATGTTGCTTCTATCCCAATGGTGGGAGATTTAATGTCTTCTGATAATTTGGTTAAACATTAGGGCATTGCTATGAACACTGTTGTAAAAGAACCACAGAGCTAAAGTTTTAAACTTGTTCTGTATTAAAGAAAAAATACATTGATTCATGATGGAAAGAATAAAGTGTTAACCATTCCAACTGAGTCTCTGTCTGATGTGTGAGGAAGAGGGTTCAAAGGAGGAACAGCATTTGCCTGAACCTCACATACGTATTTTAATAAGTCTTATTTTGCACAAGCCTAGTATGGAAGACATGACTAGGTATCAAAGTGCACTGTTCTGAGTACTTTGATATCTGTCACATTTATGTGAATTACCTGCATCTGTATAAGTCATAGTTTACGTTTAGGATGAATTTTAGTATTTGATTGATTTGCAAAAGTTCTGCAGTACCGTATTTTTTTCTGCCATTACAGACTGTACTGTACTTGTGCCCATAATGGCCACATTGGAGACATATGCTCAGAAGTTAATATTGGCTCTCTGTCTTTGGAACAGTTGATTCAAGTGTATTTTAGCTTCAAATTCAGCTGTTAAATTACACAGAGATTTGCCAGAAAAAATCACAAATTTTTCTGAAGTAAGTTGGTTCGTGATCCAAAAACATAACTGTTATTTTCACAACTTATCAGAATGTGGGGTTCTTTTAAAGCATACTGTTCAAATCTAAACTGGCTGTAGATAATTGGGTACCACAATCTACCACTGTTGCTGGAGAGCTGCAGCATTTGTAATATAATGCTTAGAGCATTGGACTAGGGCTCAAGAGACCTGGCTTCAAGTACTACCTCCACACAGTCATGATGCACTAGCCTGTCAGAATATGTCAGCCTGATTTATCTTACAAGGTTGTTATGAATATAAAATTGGGAAAGAGATTTGTGTGTGGTTGTTGTTTAGTTGTTAAGTCGTGTCTGACTCTTCGTGACCCCATGGACCAGAGCATGCCAAGCCCTTCTGTCTTCCGCTGCCTCCTGGAGTTGGGTCAAATTCATGTTGGTAGCTTCGGTGATACTGTCCAACCATCTCGTCCTCTGTCGTCCCCTTCTCCTCTTGCCTTCACACTTTCCCAACATCAGGGTCTTTTCCAGGGAGTCTTCTCATGAGATGGCCAAAGTATTGGAGCCTCAACTTCAGGATCTGTCCTTTCAATGAATACTCAGGGTTGATTTCCTTCAAAATGGAGAGGTTTGTTCTCCTTGCAGTCCAGGGGACTCTCAACAGTCTCCTCCAGCACCACAATTCAAAAGCATCAATTCTTCAGCGGTCAGCCTTTATGGTCCAGCTTTCACTTCCATACATTGCTACTGGAAAAACCATAGCTTTGACTATATGGACCTTTCTTGCCAAGGTGATGTCTCTGGTTTTTAAGATACTGTATTGTCTAGGTTTGTCATCTCTTTCCTCCCAAGAAGCAGGCGTCTTTTAATTTTGTGG